GGTGTGCTAATGCAAAGAAGCATGGAAACATCGAGGCAACCCACAACAAAAGCTAAACCCCTGCACGTGCAACAAGGTTGGGAGGGGAAATCACCGTGAACATTCCAGAACAACAAAGAGAGGTGAATGCATGTTTGTGGTGTCGTTGAAGCAGGGAGGTCAACCGAAGGTCAATGATATGATTTGAGCAGAGTGGGCTTGCCTGTCAACACTCATACGATCAGCAAAAGAGAGCGGAGTGAGGCCTCAATTTGAGCGAAGCGTTTTGGGTCGAGCATGGTACCGGCGCGTGCTTTGGCTTCCTTCCACATCTTTTCGAGCCAGCTCAGCTGGGCAGTGCGTCTGCACGCCGCAAGTGTTGAATACTCATGCTGGTGCTGTTGGAGACTTGTGTGTGTGTGTGTGTGTGCTGTGTGTTGTGTGGGAGATTGTCTTGGCAAGAGTGAGTTGTGTGTGTTTACTTGAGTTGTGAAGCAAACAAGGATGTAGGATGAATGAATACTCCAACAAAAAGAAACAGAGCAGAAGACAAGAATTGTCGACAACGCAAAGTGGTGACGTGGCAGTGTTTGTTGAGAGTTGTGTGGTTATGTGGTGTGCTATGCAAGAGCATGGAACATCGAGCAACCACACAAAGCTAAACACTGCACGTGCAACAGGTTGGAGGGAAATCACGTGAACATTCCAGAACACAAGAGAGGTGAATGCATGTTTGTGGTGTCGTGAAGCATGGAGGTCAACCGAAGGCCAATGATATGATTTGAGCAAAGTGGGCTTTGCCTGTCACACTCATACGATCAGCAAAGAGAGCGGAGTGAGGCCTCAAATTTGAGCGAAGCGTTTTGGGTCGAGATGGAACCAGTCGCGTGCTTAGGCTTCCTTCCACTTCCTTTCCAGCACAGCTCAACCCGTGCAGACCGGCCGCCACACCCCAGGTGTCGATACCCCTAGCTGGCAGATATAGAAAAAATATATCTAGTAGTGAATCATAATCGACATGCGAAAAATAGCACTGAGAAAACTAATATGGTCCATGATCGAACTCGAATGACCTTAAGTCCATGCGGGATGTCACGTCAATCGGAACTGTTTATCCCTGAAACCGACCGTAACGTGCAAAGTTCGGTGCACGGTCGTTCAAGGTATTGAACGTACGCAAGTAGCAGGTACACACTGAAGTACATAGGCCACGTTCATGCCAAGATAAACTTAACGACAATGTCGATGGGTGTCACGACCTCCAGCAGCTGACTTAATAAATGTGG